GCTGGGTTTAGAAAAGGCAGAGGAACGAGAGACCAGATTGCCAATATCCGCTGGATAATGGAGAAAGGCAGGGAGTTTCAGAAAAACATCTATTTCTGCTTCATTGACTATTCTAAAGCCTTTGACTGTGTGGATCATAATAAATTGTGGCAAGTTCTTGGTGGGATGGGCATACCAAGCCACCTTGTCTCTCTCCTGAGGAATCTGTACAAGGACCAAGTAGCAACAGTCAGAACTGACCACGGAACAACAGACTGGTTCAAGATTGGGAAAGGCGTACGGCAAGGCTGCATACTCTCACCCAACCTTTTTAGCTTGTATGCAGAACACATCATGCGATGTGCGGGGCTGATGAATGCAAAGCTGGGGTGAAAATTGCTGGAAGAAACATTAACAACCTCAGATATGCAGATGACACCACTCTGATGGCCGAAAGCGAGGAGGAGCTGAGGAGCCTTCTAATCAAGGTGAAAGAAGAAAGCGCAAAAGCCGGGTTGCAGCTAAAAGTCAAAAAAACCAAGATTATGGCAACAAGAATGATTGACAACTGGAAAATAGAAGGAGAAACCGTGGAGGCCGTGACAGACTTTGTATTTCTAGGTGCAAAGATTACTGCAGATGCAGACTGTGGCCAGGAAATCAGAAGACGCTTACTTCTTGGGAGGAGAGCAATGTCCAATCTCGATAAAATAGTAAAGAGTAGAGACATCACACTGGCAACAAAGATCCGCCTAGTCAAAGCCATGGTATTCCCTGTAGTCACCTACAGATGTGAGAGCTGGACCTTAGGGAAGGCTGAGCGAAGGAAGATAGATGCTTTTGAACTGTGGTGTTGGAGGAAAGTTCTGAGAGTGCCTTGGACTGCGAGAAGATCCAACCAGTCCATCCTCCAGGAAATAAAGCCCGACTGCTCACTGAGAGGGAAAGATACTAGAGACAAAGTTGAAGTACTTTGGCCACATCATGAGGAGACAGGAAAGCCTAGAGAAGACAATGATGCTGGGGAAAATGAAAGGCAAAAAGGAAGAGGGGCCGACCAAGGGCAAGATGGATGGATGGCATCCTTGAAGTGACCGGCTTGACCTTGAAGGAGCTGGGGGTGTGACGGCCAACAGGGAGCTTTGGCATGGGCTGGTCCATGAGGTCACGAAGAGCTGGAAAGGCTCGATAAAATAGTAAAGAGTAGAGACATCAGACTGGCAACAAAGATCCATTGCCTAGTCAAAGCCATGGTCTTCCCTGTAGTCACCTACGGATGTGAGAGCTGGACCTTAGGGAAGGCTGAGCGAAGGAAGATCGATGCTTTTGAGCTGTGGTGTTGGAGGAAAGTCCTGAGAGTGCCTTGGACTGCGAGAAGATCCAACCAGTCCATCCTCCAGGAAATAAAGCACGGCTGCTCATTGGAGGGAAGGATACTACAGACAAAGCTGAAGTACTTTGGCCACATCATGAGGAGACAGCAAAGCCTAGAGAAGACAATTATGCTGGGGAAAGTGGAAGGCAAAAGGAAGAGGGGCCGACCAAGGGCAAGATGGATGGATGGCATCCTTGAAGTGACTGGACTAACCTTGAAGGAGCTGGGGGTGGTGACAGCCGACAGGGAGCTCTGGCGTGGGCTGGTCCATGAGGTCACGAAGAGTCGGAGACGACTGAACGAATGAACAACATTGTCAAGCTGAAACGTGTCCCAGTAGGGAGATCACAACAGCCAAAGATCTGGAAGCCAAGTTGCATGTGGAGTGACTGAGAGAGCTGAGCGTGTTTAGCTTGGAGAAAATAAGATAACTACTGCTATGCTTTAGTAATTGAAAAGATGTCACTAGCTTGTTTTCTGCAAGTCTAGACACTACAACATGGAGCAATGGATTAAAATTGCAGAATAAGTGATTCCACCAAAACATTAGAAAGAACTTCCGGATAGTCAATGTTTGACAGTGGAATATGCTGCCTGTCATTGTGGAGGAGCCTTCTTCTCTATGATTCTATAATTGTATGATACGATCAGATCCTTTTTGAAATCTGTGTTGTGCAATTTCACAGAAGTATTTTGTCAGTTTGGTTCTGAGAATATTGTGTAAGGTTCCCAACCCCCCCCCAAATGAAGACAGAACAAGTTCCTGCTTTATACATTCTGCTTTCTCACAAGGCTCATATCAGTATTTCTCAGATTAGGCAGCCAGATTTACCATGGCTGACAACTGGACATCACCACAAATTGTCTTCATCAGTACCAGGTAGGTCTGAAACTATATGTAGTAGATAGAACTTGTATCCATCAATGTGGATTTTTTTCTTGTATTTCGGAAAGCCAACAAAATACCATGGGGCAATTTTTGATCCAGGATTGATTTTAAAAAGTCCTCAGAGGAGAATGGCAGTTGATAGGTGCATACAGCTGTGCAACCAGGCATTTCTTGGGTCATCTTGGCATGGAAATCTAGTAGGGGGGAAAATGAAACTGTCCTTATTGTACAGTGACAGGCACAAGGTGCTCTCCTAAGGCATAGAGCAGTGGTTCTCAACCTTCCTAATGCCACAACACCTTAACACAGTTTCTCATGTTGTGGTGACCCCCCAAACATAACATTATTTTCGTTTCTACTTCATAACTGTTATTTTGCTACTGTCATGAATCGTAATGTAAATCTCTAATATGCAGGATGTATTTTCAGTGACTGGACCAAATTTGGCACAAACATCTGATACGTCCAAATTTAAATATTGGTGGGGTTGGGGGATTGATTTTGTCATCTAGGAGTTGTCGTTGCTGGGATTTATAGTTCACCTACAATCAAAGAGCATTCTGAACTCCACCAACAATGGAATTGAACCAAGTTGGGGTACACAGAACCCCCATAACCAAAGGAAAGTACTGGAAAGGCCTGGTGGGCATTGACCTTGAGTTCTGGAGTTGTAGTTCACCTACATCCAGAGAGCACTGTGGACTCAAACAAGGATGGATTTGGACCAAACTTGGTACAAATACTCAATTTGCCCAAATGTGAACACTGGTGGAGTTTGGGGAAAATAAACTTGCTATTTTAGAGTTGTAGTTGCTGGAATTTTAAGTTCACTTACAATCAAAGAGCATTCTGAACCCCAACAATAAATTGGGCCAAACTTCCCACACAGAATCCCCATGACCAACTGAAAATAATGTGTTTTCTGATGGTCTTTGGTGGCCCCTCTGACACCCCCTCATGACCCCCTCAGGGGTCCCGACCCCCAGGTTGAGAAACGCTGGCATAGAGGGTGGGATCAGTGGTGGTGAAGTATGGTCCTGAGACTGCATGCACTGCAACGGCAATTCTATTTGCCTCAAACCTTTTCTCTGGGCAAAAAAGTTCAACAGAGGTTGGAATTAACTTTTAACTAACATAGCCCAAAGTAGGGGGAGGGCACACATCTCTGCAGGTACATAATTCATTCCTGCCTGATTGAACCTTGTCCTAAATAATTTAAATCTGCTAATTTAAAAGACTGTATTTTAAAAGTTGTCACATCAGTTGACTTGTCTTTCTTTGGTCATGTTTTTAGATACTGAAAATATCTGACAGGGAAAACAAGATGCCTGATTACAGCAATGTTTCAACATACTCTACGCCTGAAAGTTTGTAAGTATGTGATGTATTATTAAATGTGTGATCCAAGAGAAGTGTCTGTTATGCATTGCATTATCCCTCAAAACCACCAGCCTAGCTAATCAAATGTTTAGAAGAAAAGCTAAAAATACAGGAAGCAACAGCTGCCTGTTACAACACACACTACAACTTGTGGTTTGGTGTCTCTAATGTATTAACTTGCAAGGTGGCCTGAGGACATTCTTTGTGGGGTTTTGTTTACTTTAAGGGAATATCTGGCCATCGTCTCAGATTTGAAACATTTACTCCTTTTCTTTTATTCTAAGATATACACAGCCCAAGTCCAGAGCTCCCAAATGGTTTTTGGGGTCCTCATATACTTTTTCAAGCCACATAAAGCCTTCAAGGACCCAGTTTTACACTTACACTCTTATTTCTACTGTACATTCCAAAATGCAAAATCATTTACTAAATAAAAGTAAACAAATGGATTCCTGGAAATTATACTTTTTAAAGACTTTAGCTTTCTCTGACCAAAAGGGCCCTTCTACACTGCCATATAATTCAGTTCAGTGCAGATGATTTGGATTTTATATGGCAGTGTGAAAGGGGCCTTAATTACAGCTCTATGATTCTATAGCATTGAGCCCTGGCAATTAAAGTGGTCCCAAATTCCATCAATTCTACAGTGCAAAGGCACCCAGAATCCATCTTTGCTATATGTACCTGGAGCCATACTTCTTAGGCCCCTTCTATGCTGCCCTATTTCCCAGGGGCAGTTCCCAATTATCCACTTTAAACTGCGGGTGCTTCCACACAGCCCTTTATCACAGTAGCATCTGCCCCTATCCACACAACCCCCCAGAAAGCGCACACTTTCTAGGATGGGTGTCCATATAGTCTTTTGTGACTGGCCTGGGAGAACACCTGGAGACTCAACTCCCCTTCCTCAAAGTCCTAAAACCTCTTTTAAAAGTAAGGAAAACTTACCCGGTCTTCAGTAGAGTGTTGCCGGAGCTCTCCCGGCACATAGAAATGCTATGCCAGGAGAGCAGGATTATTTTTCTCTCTCCCCCCTCACTCTACTGGCACATCATTTCTAAGTGTGATGAGGTTCTTTCCACACATCCCATTGTGTAGTGTCAGCAATAGGGGATCCTTATGATATCTCCAACTGCTCCATCCAAAACAAATTAAAATACTTTGTAGGTGTGCAAACACACACTCAGACCTCAAATTTATTCTCCTGTGACATTCTTTTTCATATGGAATCTTGACAGAAATTATTGCCTGGTTTGCAATGGAGCTAATTCAATGTTTTTTTTCCTTTAAAACAAAATACTCAACTGAACCAAATAATACAAGTAAAATGAGAGCTGAAAGAATATGAAAGGAAAATTATGCAAAATGATTTTATATTTATTTTTAAACATTTTAGACTGTAGCCTATATGCATCAAAAGCACAAATTTTGTCTCCCAGTAAAAAAGGTTTGTTTTTGATACTGGAAGTTAAGTGAGATTAGCCCTGGATGGGAGACCAGTAATTTCAAAGGGAGGACACGGCAAAATGGAAAAAATTCTATGGAATTTGTGGGTTCACAAAAAACAAAAAGGACAGAAAATTGATGACATGTGTACATACATGCACAAAAAGCCATTCAAACTATCAATGTGAATTTATGTTGGACAACCACAACCTTGGAATATAAAGTAAGATCATACAAGGAAATGAAAATTGTAAAAAAAATTCTTTCTGATTTCTGATTAGGAACAGAATCACTTCAGTCTATCTTCTCTTTGCAGGTCTTTGCATGATGGGAGAAGCAGTTTCTATAAAGCATTTCTATGTAATTTGAATAATTCTGACAACTCGAAAAACAACGAAACATTTCTTCCTGCCATATGTGCAAATGACACTTCTGGAACAATAAAACCCCTCAATGTTATAACTGTTATAGTCTGTATTTTGGGGCTTCCTGGAAATGGAATGGTCATCTGGCTTCTTGGCTTCAGAATTAAGAGGACTCATTTCACAACCTACGTCATGAACCTTGCCATTGCTGATTTTGGTGTCCTCATCTTCCTGCTTAGCATGGCTAGCTCTGCAATACACTCGTGTGATGGCTACCCTGTTACAAAGTCCTCCTTTCAAATAATCCGTCAGCTAACTTTCTTCGCTTATTCTGTTAGCCAGTTTCTATTGGCAACTATCAGCATTGACAGATGTGTGGCCGTTCTCGTCCCACTCTGGCATCGATACCACCGGCCCCCACATTTATCCATCATGGTTTCTATCCTAATTTGGTTAGTCTCCTTTCTGCTTGCTGTCATCCATTTAGTTCTTTTAGAGACAAAGCGTTTAGTTTTTTTCTACCACCTTTTTGTGAATGTCCTGCTTTGCACACCTATCATGGTCATATCTACTCTCATTCTGTTCATCCATGTCTGTTATAAACCAAAACAACAACTGCGGCGAAAGCTTGCCACAGCCATTTTATTCACACTCCTCTTTTTTGTCCTCTTTACCTTCCCATTTAACATGATTTATAGCTTTGATGGAAAACATGAAAGCAAGTGTTATAAAATCTCCTCCATGACATTCGTTTGCTGTGCCTTTGCTTCTCTGAACAGTAGCATCAACCCCCTGATCTATTTCTTAGTTGGATGGGGTCGAACGATGGGTAAAGTCAAGATTTCCATGAAGGCGGCACTTGAAAGAGTTTTCAGGGATGAGCAAGACAATAGAGAAGAACAAACCACCAGGACAGGAGCAACCCATCTATAAGGATCTTTATGTGTGAAAGCAGTTATCTTTACCAAATAATTCTTCAGAATTCACTTGTAAAATCATTATTCATACATAATATTCAAAACTGATTGGCAGTATGTAACAGAAAATAATGGTGAGGGTATATCTCCTGGTTTCCAAAGAGAAAATATTCAATTTTTTGCATTATTCATCCTTTTACAATGCAATTCTTGACTTTATTCCTACTCAAAAGATGTATCAAATAATTTGGAACTGTGCAATGAGTATCAGAATGGCCATGGTGTACGATTTTTGGATCATGTGATTTTAATATTTATAGTAGGATATTTTTAATGCTTTGTCTTAGTGTTTAAATGTTGTTTATGCCTTAGGTTTAATGGTTTTAATTATTTTAATTTATAGTTATATGTTAGTGTTCAGTTATTATGTTTTCTATTATATGTATGTGGTATTGAATTTTTGTCATTATAATGCTGTAAACTGCCTTGTGTCCCCCCAGAGGTAAGAAAAGTGATATATAAATATAGTAAATGAATAAATAACAAATAATTTGCACAATATTCTTTCTGATGTAAAACAAGGTTTTCAAAATCAATTGAGTTTTTTTAAAAATCACACTTTGTGACCATTGTGCACAATATTTGCTCACGGTTGTTTTGCACAAAAAATAGTACCTTAAGTATGGACAACAATATTTTAATGCTTTAATATTACTTCCTGTGCAAAAAAACAAACAAAAAAAACCCGGTTTTTTATGCACCCCAACCATGCACAGATTTTGGATAGATTAAATCCCCCATTGTAGCATTTCCTGGACAGGAATAAATTTTTCTATATTGAAATACTATTTTTCAGCTAGAAAATGTTGTTTCTTTTGTGGAACATGATGTTTTGTGCACCAAACAATTGTGTGTATATTTTGCACAGACGTAGTTCTGAACTGCAAGGATTAGCATTCACTCAGGAGTTTCCTTATTAGAATAGCTCAAGAATATTTTTGAATATACTTTTCATGCCTACTTTCAGGAAAGTGTCATCCAACATATATCAAAGTGATTTAAATAATTAGAGAGAAAGATTGCCCATCCCCGTTAGGGGGTTGAGAAGGGCCCAAAATAAATAAATAAATCTACCTTTAAATATACAAAAGTAAACATTCCCATGGTGTGCATTTAATCAGTAGTTTATATTTAATTTTTCCCTAAAATGTTGAACCTAAAAAATATGCTGCAATCCACAACAATGAAGGATTATCTATTGACATGAAATCATTCTTTGTGTAGATGAGAAAAATTATTGGATGCAATGATCATTAGACCATTCCTTTATTTCATGTTTTGTAAAAGAGAGACAGCAACACAATGTATTTCACTCTGGAAGCAGGTAAGGATGGTTACAGCTTTGCACTTATCCCATTCCCTTGTCCTTTTGTTTACAGCTTGGCAATGTTTACAGTGGTTTACTGCCATTGGTTGATAAGTGCTGTTTTAATTGAGTTTTAAGTTGTTGTTTTATATGGCTATATCTTTTATTCAATTGTATTTTATATTGTATTTTATTTTATGTTCTGTTTTTAGGCACCTTGTGCTGTTTGTAAGCCATCCTGAATCCCTTCGGAGAGATGGTGGCGGGAAATAAGAATAAAGTTATTATTATTATTATTAAATGAACAAAAAATGAGTGACTTTCCCCTTTCGTATTACAAGATTTATGTGCATATTTAATCTAAAATCCAATTCATTCATAATAGGGCTTTAATCTTACATTTTATTGTAATGTTATTTTTCTTTTTCCATTTGATTATTAAATAATAATAATAATAATAATATATCAGTCTCTAGTTGTTATCTTTTCACCTTCTTTCTTTAAATATGTAATTAATGAATCCCAGAATTGTATGAAATATATTTTTTTACTTTCAATATCATAATTAATTTATTCATCTCTACCATGTCTTACATTTTGACCACACAATTTTCTGTGTTTGATATTCTTTTATTTTTCCAACTTTGTGTGTATATGAATTTTACTGCTGTTGTCATGTATGGAAAACCTTTTGCCGTTTAATTTGATTGTCAAAATTTCTAATAAAAAGAGTTTTGAACTAGTAATACTTGCTACTTGCTTGGTTTATTGGCATGATTAAAGTTCTGTTTTTTTCTATATATTTTATTATTTTCTAGCTCATTAACAAATAAAATAACTGGATTGACATTTCAATTTTTATTTCTTTAGTTCTTTTTCTATTGTCTCCTGCATATCCTCTAATATTTCATTTCAATTTTTCTTGTATTTTCTTTTAATTATTTTTAGCAAGTCGAGTGTACATTACTCTTATAAAGGCTTTACTGGCACCCCTTACCAATCTCATCTATGTTTCCCTGTTGATTTTGTCTTTTTTAAAAAGATCCTATTTATATTTTATTTGCATATTTTTCCTGATCCGTGTAATCTCTATTTAACGCTATCACCCTCCCATCCTTTAACATTAAGGACAAATGATCTATATTGGTACCCCTTATTATCTTAAATTTTATTTCCCTGTCTATATTTTTTTAGAAACCTATAGCCCAAGGTAGCAAATTCCATTATCTAGCAGCTCTTACCATTAGGAAGTTCTTGCTCATTTTTAGATAGAATCCCTTTTTGCACAATTCAATTCCATTGTGTCCTGGTCTCCAGAGCAGCAGAAAACAAACTTCTCCTTTCCTCAGTATGACATCCTTTCCAGTGTTTAAACACAGCTATCATTTTGTTGTTTATTTGTTCAGTTGCTTCTGACTCTTTGTGACCTCATGAACCAGCCCACACCAGAGCTCCCTGTCAGCCGTGGCCACCCCTAGCTCCTTCAAGGTCAAGCCAGTCACTTCAAGGATACCATCCATCCATCTTGTCCTTGGTCGGCTCCTCTTCCTTTTTCCTTCCATTTTCCCCAGCATAATTGTCTTCTCTGAGCTTTCCTGTCTTCTCATTATGTGGCCAAAGGACTTCATCTTTGCCTCTAATATTCTTCCCTCCAGTGAGCAGCCAGGGAATTATTTGCTGGAGTATGGACTGGTTTGATCTTGCAGTCCAAGGCACTCTCAGAATGTTGCTCCAACACCACAGTTCAAAAGCATCTATCTTCCTTTGCTCTGCTATACCTTAGCTTCTCCTCATAGGGCTTGGCTTCCAGGCCTTTTATCATTTGGGTCATACCTCTCTGGACATGTTCCAGTTTGTTAATATCCTTCATGAATTGTGGTGCCCAGAATGTTAATCAGCAGTCTTAAGTCAAGCTAATAGTCCAACAGAGGTGCAATCATTAGCAGGATAATGCAAATAGAGAAATCACTGAAGAACTGATGTTGCTATTGGCAACAAGGTGCCACCCCTGGGCAGCTTAAGTTCACAGCTAGCTCTACTAGTATTTGGAGTCGAGAGTTCTGACAGGTAAGAGCAGTTTACTGGTTTGGGTTTACTGGTTTTGTGGAGAACCTCTCCCAGGCAAAAGGTCTTAAAATGGACAAATAAATTGAGCAGCTCCAAAAAGGGGGACAAATCAGGCCAAGACAAAATGATTTTTAAGTGAAACCAATTGTTTATTTATTAAGAAGAACGAAAAAATATATAGGTAGAACCCCAACATAGCATATTGTGTCAATATAAACTGTTTCTCAAAGCAAAAAGACAGATGCTAAAACCACTAATCCTACAACACACACACATTTTCTTACTTTCTTATGCAAATAAAAGTCTAAATAAGATGTTTGGCTAAAGATGAAGTGAGAAGACAGGGAAACAAGTTCTGGATGAAAAGGTCCAAGTGAAAAAGGTTTCTTTCTCTGGGAACATTTTGCTTATGATAATTCTGCTTCCTCTCTGTGGAGTTCTTTCTGATCCTTGTATTTTTGTCTGTCTTTGATTTGTTCCTCTGCCTAAATTTAACCTGTTTCTAACTTGGAGCCTGTCATCTGAAGGGAAGGAGACACCTCTGCGTGGGACAAACCATAATCTTAATGTTATTCTATGGAGAGTTCAAAAGACAAGGTCCATTAAAGTGATGTGCAGAGCCCTCACGTGCTAAAAGAATATGTGTACAAAGAGCAGACGGGAATGTGACCTTTGGCTGTTACCTTTTGGAAATAATTCTGAAATAGTCTGAGGAGATGAAAACAATGGAATTACAACACATGGGACAAAAACAATTGAGCATAGACATTTCAGGTCCTTCCAGACAGGGCTAAATTCCGGGAGAAACTGGGATATTTGAACGCATCAGAAGCTGTCTTCCAGGGGCCTGCACATTTAGCCAACCCCCTACAGTAAGTTTTTGGGCAAATCAGGGAGCTGGAAGGAGAGGGTGCAATGTTATCCTGATCCTTTAGGCTCTGAGAGTCCGAAGAACTGGGATGGCATTGGGGATTGACTCTCAGGACCATGTAATGCAGTCCTGGGAGTCAATCTCCAGAGGCCCACACGTGGAAAGATTTGGACCTTGCATTACCATCGGGATCTTTTCAGGTGCCAAATTATCCTGGAGTAAACTGGGACATTCCAGTTTACTCTGGATTATTTCAGGTTTACCTGAGGTGTTGTTTGGATGCCTCAGGTAAATCCGTGACCCATCATGGGTTATGGGCCCATGTGGAAGGACCCTTCCTCTTTTTCAGATACAAAAAGTATTGCCCTACCTCTTGAAACTGCAGCAACTGGAGATTGCAACAGGTCTGGCAGTCTCCATTCAGTAGAAGAAAAGATGACAGCTAATACTAATTGCTCTTCTGAAGGCAACAATGAGACTACTATAGGAGGGACGGGCTTCACAGGAAAATTCCAGTTTGTACTTAAGAAAAGGTTTTATTTCTTCCAAGATGACCAGAAATCCAGTATATCACTCCCTATCCTGCCAGAATACCTCTTACAATTTTCAGACTCCCTGAAGAAAGATTTCCTATTTAAGTGCTTGCTTGCAAGTTCTATTATTCAAGCATAACACAACACAACGTATTGAGACTGAATTGTAACCTTGCACAACTGGATGGTAGCATTCATTATTTTCCAAATCTAAATGTTCACTGGATCAATTTTCATTTGTTCTCAGCTGTTTGAAATTCCACAAACCGAGTGTGTAATGGATAACTGTTCCCTTCCCCCCAATTTCTTCTGTCTACCTTCCCTATAAGACATGGGCATTTATAGGATAATCCAAATAGGCTAATCAATGGAAAGAGTAAACTCTCACTCCACTACTCATCACAGCAATAAGGAATATCTGGTTACAAAGCAAACACGGAGTGTAATGGGGATTGCAAATCTTAGAGTTTTAGAAGAAAGGGCACAGGGCCCACTACATCATTATATAATTTACTGTACTATTATTCCACTTTAACTGTCAAGTTCCATCATAAGGAATTCTAGAATTTATAGTTTCATGATGCACCAGAGAGCTCTCTGACTGAGAAGACTAAATATCTCATACTCAACTGCAAACCTAGGATTGTACAGAACAAAACCATGGCAGTTAAAGTAGAACAACAGTGGCATATCTATGTATTGTGAATCAGCCCACAGAGTATCTTACTTAGTTAAGTGCAGCCTTTCTAATATGGATATTGCTATGGAAATATCTCTGGTTATCTTATTGTAATATGGAGTTTGCAACTTTTTTTTAAAAAAAAACCCTAATTGCATCTTGATGTTGCTTATAAAGTTGCCTTTTATTTTACAAAGAAATAAACAGTAGTTAGGGGAAATGGTGGACACTAGGCCTGGGTAACAACGGAAAAATTTGTTTCTAAAATCGATTCGTTTTTTGGGGTTTTTTGCGTTTCGATATTTAAAAGAATTCCGAAATTTTTCTTTTAAAAAGTTCGATATTTACGAAATTTTGTAAATGTTAAAAAAATTACGAAACATTAACAAATAACGAAACAATAACGAATCGATTCGTTAATGGTGGACGCAACCGCGCAATACGCTAAAAAACCTCCAAATGGGACAGGGGGAACTTCTGAAGCTTCCCTCTCCCTCTGTTGTTGACTGTTGGTGTGATATTATAATTTTTTTTCACTAATTAAACAAAAAAACTATAAAACTTGCCCCAGACATGCGGAAATAATAACGAAACGACCTCAAACCAATAACGAAACGAATACATAACGAATCCGAAGCATTTACGAAACGAATTTAAAAATTCATTTTGTTTTTAAGTTGCTCCAGAATGGTTCGTTATCGCTTCGTTATAAAAAAAATAACGAATTTTTAACGAATTACGAATTAACGAAACGAAACCGCCCAGCCCTAGTGGACACATTGCCCAGGGCATCAAACAGTGGTTACACTTGAGGTGTTCTGTTCTTCCTTATGGTCATGCTCATCCTTGAAGACCCTCTGGAGTGCCACCTTCATGGACACTCTGGGCTGACCTTTCTTTTGTCTCCTCCCAATTAAGAAATAGATCAGAGGATTGATACAACTGTTCAGAGAAGAACAGACAAAACCTGTTCCCATTAGAGTGGGAAGAGAGGTGTGATAATGAGTTATGATATAGAACACATTAAGTGGGACAGCAAAGATGAGGAAGAAGAGGAGGGCAAGCAAGATGGACGTGACAAGCTTTACCCTATGATGTTGTTTTGATTTACAGCATAACTGAATGATCAGGATCAGAGTGGAGGTAACCATGATAGGAGTGCAAAGCAGAACATTCATAATAAGTGGATACAACACTGGAGTATTGCCAAAGCTCTTAGTTCTATGGAGAGTGAAGTGAATTGCAGAGTGGGCAAAAGAGAGGATCCAGATTAGGGTACAAACAATAGTGGACAAACATGGAGGCCGGTGGCATCGATGCCAAAGTGGGAAGAGGATGGCCACAGATCTGTCAATACTGATGGCAGCCAATAAATATTGACTTGCAGAATATGTGAGAAAAAATACCTCCAGAAAAATTAGGAAAAAAAGAGAGTGAATATTGATTCCATTATACTGAACCATGGACATCCCCAAAGCAGCAGTGCTAATTAAAAAGACGAGGACCCCAAAGTCAGCTATGGAGAGGTTTAGGATGTAAGTGGTGAAAGGATTTCTCTTCATGTGAAAGCCAAGAAGCCAAATGACCATTCCATTTCCCACAAGCCCTAAAAGGCAGGTTGTGAGAAAAAAACTATTGATGATAATTTCAGGAAATACATTTTCAGTGCTATTAATTGGTTGCCTAATCCCAGCACTTCCATTTATGTCTGGAGAAAGAGTTAGCATGCTTTCTGAATCTCCAGAAGCAGGGTTGTCATCTATGATGTGGTTTTGGGGATGGTAATTCTTATTGCTAACTTCGAGATATATTTCCCTGTGAACAGAATGAGACAAACATAAATAAATTTTTCTTATGGAATTGTACCCACAAAACAATGATTATGGTTTTTCCCACTTATTACTTGGCCTGAAATTTGTGTAAAGGACACTGATTAAAACAGTTGATACATACAACAACACCTTAATATATTGCATATATTAGAATTACATTGTTTATAATATATCACAGAGTTTGCTTCTTTCTATAAAAACAAAGTTTCATTTTCTTCCTTCTTGACTGATTTTAAAGGTTTGAGTGGATAAGTAGGATGATGCAACTGAAACATTTCTTACAATATTGCTGGTGGTGCTAGTGATGTTATGATCGTTGTTTGAGATCTTGGTTTTGAACCTGTTAAGGTCTTCAGTTGAGTTTTGATGTCTTTACCATGCACCAATGTGTTCCACTATTTCTTTTACATCAAAAAAACCAAGATTATGGCAACAAGAATGATTGACAACTGGGAAATAGAGGGAGAAAATGTGGAGGCCGTGATAGATTTTGTATTTCTAGGTGCAAAGATTACTGCAGATGCAGACTGTAGCCAGGAAATCAGAAGCGCTTACTTCTTGGGAGGAGAGCAATGAGCAATCTCGATAAAATAGTGAAGAGTAGAGACATCACACTGGCAACAAAGATCCGCATAGTTAAAGCAATGGTATTCCCCTGTAGTCACCTACGGATGTGAGAGCTGGACCATAGGGAAGGCTGAGCGAAGGAAGATCGATGCTTTTGAACTGTGGTGTTGGAGGAAAGTTCTGAGAGTGCCTTGGACTGCGAGAAGATCCAACCATCCTCCAGGAAATAAAGCCCGACTGCTCATTGGAGGGAAGGATACTAGAGACAAAGTTGAAGTACTTTGGCCACATCATGAGGAGACAGCAAAGCCTAGAGAAGACAATTATGCTGGGGAAAGTGGAAGGTAAAAGGAAGAGGGGCCGACCTAGGGCAAGATGGATGGATGGCATCCTTGAAGTGACTGGACTGACCTTGAAGGAGCTGGGGGTGGTGACGGCCGACAGGGAGCTCTGGCGTGGGCTGGTCCATGAGGTCATGAAGAGTCGGAGATGACTGAACGAATGAACAACAAAGCAATGCTCCATGCAGTTAGACCAGCCACATGACCTTGGAGGTGTCTACAGATACTTTATATACTTGTGTTTAACTCAACCTTGTTCATAAGGCACTTTTTTTTTGGGGGGGGGGATGATTGATTATGATACGACCAATGGATATGCTGAGATTTATTTTCGTATCAGCAGCAACTCAAGAAACTCGAGATAATTGGCTGTCTGCAAGCACATTGCCCAGGGATGCCCGGATCTTTGATGTTTTAGTATCCTGTAGGAGGCTTCTTTCATGTCCCCGCGTAGGGAGATGGAGCTGACAGAGAGAACTCTGAACCTGTCGGTCAGTAGTTCTGCTGACACAAGCATTTTTCATTGGATAGAGGGAAAAAATGGTTCTGGCTCGGGGGAACATCAGCCCCAGGCCGATGCTACTGTTATTTTCTTGCCCAGACATTCAAAAAAGTCAGAAGTGGTGCTATGGCAGAGAAAGAAAAGGAAGTTGGTGCTTCTTTTGGGTTCTTCTTTTAGCTGCTCTACCCAGAAAAGAGAATGGTTTATTTTTAGATAAGAGCTAAAGTAGACCCCTAAATAATTCAACCCAATTTTGTTCAGTTTTAATTAATATTTCTCAGCTCATATATAGTAATGAAATTTACTAGTATTAGATGAATACCGTGTCTACTGCAGTGGTTCTCAACCTGTGGATCCCCAGTGTTTTGGCCTACAACTCCCAGAAATCCTAGGATTCAGGGAGTTGAAGGCCAAAACATCTGGGGATCCAGGTAGAGACAAAGTTGAAGTACTTTGGCCACATCATGAGGAGACAGCAAAGCCTAGAGAAGACAATTATGCTGTGGAAAGTGGAAGGTAAAAGGAAGAGGGGCCGACCAAGGGCAAGATGGATGGATGGCATCCTTGAAGTGACTGGACTGACCTTGAAGGAGCTGGGGGTGGTGACGGCTGACAGGGAGCTCTGGCGTGGGCTGGTCCATGAGGTCACGAAGAGTCAGAGAGGCCTGAATGAATGAACAACAACAATGGCCATGTTCTAGAACATGGCCATACAGCCTGAAAAACCTCCAACAACCCATTTTCTGCAGATTCATTTGATATGTGTGACACTGTTGGACTGTGTCCAAAAAATTCTGAAGCTCCCTGATGTCCTTAAGTGTAGAGATTTGGAACTCCATTTGCTGAATCTTTTCTTCCAACAAAGCAATGTAGTTTGCCAAGTGTTCTGGACAAAATACGGGCCCTGCATGTAACTGCAGTTCCTTATTCCCTCTCCATAATTTGGTGCCCTCTCCATAATTTGGTGATTTAGCTTAAAAGCAGGAACTTTTCTCAGAACACCTCACTTCTCTCCTCCTTTACTTTATTGCTTCACTTTATGAATCGTATTGAAACATCAGAGGACCTAGCTGAAGCTCCCCACTCAAATGCAAGACCTCAAACACTAGGCCTCATGCAGATATCAGCACTATAGCCACTAAAATAGTCACAAAGCCTTAAAACGAACATACTACTTTACAAACAAACCTCCAGCCTTTAAACAAACATTCAGCTCTCTAGAATACTCCAAAAGTTATGGTTTATCCCAAGCACAGTTCATCTCCTGTTTCCTCTTGAGCCTCTGGGCCTCAGGGACTGAAGAGTACCTCACTTTACTTCTCCCTCACCTTCCCCATTCAATGAGGTTGAGAGTCTAATGCAGTAGTTCACCTGTAGCCTTTTTATGACCATCTAGGAAAAGCATGAATTTGGGAGGGAGAAGACCTTATTCTGAGAGCTAGTGGTTCACTGCTCCCATTAATTTGGAAAATTTCCAGCCACCATGTTAGCCTTTCCCAAATCCGAAGATTCCTAGGTCACTTTTAAACTAAAGTATTGTCTGGAATTTTTTTTGCTTCATAGCTCAGGAGTCAAAAGTTTATTGTCCTTGTTTTACTTTGCATGGGAAAATTTGGAGAAGAAGGAAGCAAACTCCACTTTGAGACTAGGCTTAGTCATGACTTCAGGATTTAGGGCTCTTCTACACATGCTGTAAAGCCTGGAAGTAACCAGGTAAAAAAAAAGGGGGGGGGGGAAGTGGCTAAACAACATTTAGCCAAAGTGTGGGATTGATCGGGTTAACAGGTAAAAAACTGCCACCTTATTCCCATCTGTGGCAGAAAACCAGATCTAATGTGTGCCTGGCACTGTGAGTAGGGCCAGATACCATTTGGGACTGCCCCATGATTGCCATGGTGGCCATGAAGTCCTGAGATAAATAGTAATGAAACACATAACAAGTCAAACAATTTTAATAACCAGAAATAAAACTAGTCATAATAAATAGTTCTAAAACATGTCTTCACCACTTCTTAATTCTTTCTTAACTCTTATTTCTTTCTTCACTAGAGAGAAACTAAAAGCTTTCACTAATTTCATAGTATACCTAATTTAATTATGTTGCCTTCCTTTTAGAAATTTCCTAGAAATTATGTATTAAAATAAGATACTTACCAAATTTCAGATATCATTTCACGACTGTAAAAAAATGAATAATGTTTCACTTCCCCAATATGTACAATAGAGATTGTAAATTTTGCCATTTTAAAAAGATCAATATACATGCATATACAGACTTCATACATTTTTCACATTTCTTTGTCATGGGTGCATTATCCTGGAGAGTTCACTAACCTCAGACTAAACTGACGAAGTTCTCCATGGACCCTTTCACACAGTCCTATATCCCAGAATATCAAGGCAAAAAATCCCACAATATCTGCTTTGAACTGGGCTATCTGAGTCCACACTCAGATAATGTGGTATTTTCTGCCTTGATATTCTGGGATATAGGGCTGTGTGGAAGAGCCCCCAGTAGAAGTAAATCTTTCCCATCTTTTGCTTTTTATAGTATCAGAATATCATTTCTGTATTTCAGAAAGATTGTGCTGAGTGCCTACAAGTTCTGGGGGTATTTTTTTTTTTACTTATTTCTGACTCCTGTTACATGACATTCTGCAGAGGAGACACTTGGGTGCAGGCAAGTACATGCGATCTGGACCTGCATGCCACATGCACTCTCCAAGGCAAGGAGGAGTTCTCTTACTCCTGAGCAGGCACTTGGCTGCATGCAGGTGCACACACTCTTGGTCTGCATTCCACAATCATTTTCCAAGGCAAGGAGGGGTTCTCTTACTCCAGGGAAGGTACTCAACTTCAGGCAGGTGCTTGCACTCTGAGCCTGTATGCTGCACACACTTTCCAAGGCAAGGAGGAGTTCTCTTACTTTAGAGGAGATGCTTGGTTTCAGGCAGACGCCCACATTCTGGGCCTGCACACCACATGCACTCTTTCCAAGGCAAGGAGGCATGTAGCACCACATGCTAATGAAAAACAGGCAAGGAGATGGGATCGGCTCCTACTTGTTTTCGTTTTGAGCTGATTTTCGTACCAGGAGGGGCCTTCCCATTAAGTGCTCCCAAAGATAACAAAAGAACAGATGAAACTAGGGAAAACAGTTGTGCGCAGAGGCGGCCCTAGGTAATTTTCAACGGTAAGCAAACAGTATTTTGGCGCCCCCAACCAATCATTGATATATATTTTCTGTTCGTCGTGGGAGTTCTGTGTGCCATATTTGGTTCAATTCCATCATTGGTGGAGTTCAGAATGCTCTTTGATTGTAGGTGAACTATACATCCCAGTAACTACACTTGCCGCACTTGCTCCCTTGCCTGGCCCGCTTTGGGTCCGGAGGCAGTGAAGACCCCGGCGTGTGCACCAAAAGTCACCTCTTCTCCTGACTTTCTCCTCAGCCATTGGGACCAAGAGAGAGAGAGAGAGAGAGAGGTGGAGATGCCCACCTTTCCTGAAGGTAGGCGCAAAAACAAAGGAGGGAGCGGAGGTGGGAGATACCTCCAGCCGGAGGGGCTCTCTCTCTCTCTCTCTCTGGTCCCAATGGCTGAAGAGAAAGTCAGGAGAAGAGGCGACTT